TATATATATATATATATATATATATATATATATATATATATATATATATATATATATATATATATATATATATTTATATATATTTATATATATTTATGTTATAAATATATATTTATAATATATATTTGTGAGTCACCTTGGATGAAACAGGCTGTTGTGACAACCTTTTGAGGTAAAACGACTATATTAGAAGAAAATGTTTATTTTCCATACACTGACATTTGACACTGACATTTGACATTCCGCTCTATAACTATAGTCATAGAGCGGAACATTCGGCTCATATATATATATATATATATATATATATATATATATATATATATATATATATATATATATATATATATATATATATATATATATAATGAGCCGAATGTTCTAGTGAAACTGAAATTCTGTATCAGGGTTATTTTAAAGCAACAAATCAGTAACATTATTTAAATCACTTGGCTATAAACCAATCAATGCACGAGCGAATGATTATTTCAGTCACATGATAAAATAATAGTGATTAATTGGTCTCTTTCAGAAAATACCAACTTTCTACCCCCTATCAGGAGCTGTGTGGGAACAAGACAAAAATAGTTAGTAAATTAAAAAATGCCAACAAATCATGCAGACCATGGAGACATCAGTTGGTAACGAAATGTTCAAAATGTTATCTGATAGTTTTCAAATATAATGGGATGGTTAAATTTGACTAACATTAAATGGTTGTCCTTTACGACGTGGCTTCAACTGTGTACAGTAAATGGTAAAATGGTATCGATGCTCTGTGACAATTACTCACTATGGCGTAAAATCTTCAAATATTTTACGAATTTGCGCGAAAACACGAAATCTGATACATAATGATACTGAAACATAATGGAACGGTTAAATTTGTTTTAGTGTTAAATGGTTATCCTTTATGAGGCTTAACTGTAAATGGTAAACGTTACCAATGCTGTGTCAGTATTACTCACCATGGGAGAAATTTTACGATATTTTACGAATTTACACGAAGACGAGAAATCTCTTGTTGAGCTCTTCAGGTAATTGTAGATTTCATGTACGCAAGGAGTTTAGCAATACGTTAAAACGATTAAAACGTTTGAGAAAAACCATGCACTGAAGCGGAATAATTGCGGAATTTTCGGCTGGGGAGACTGCACCCATGCTGAGCTGTCTATAGAATCGCTAGTAGGCCTAACGCAATTGATTTGACTTCAAATAACATGAAAAGTGCATTTCATGCCTAAATCATCAATAAAATTAAACCATCATTAATGGATAATAGATAAATTATTAACACATAAGATAAAAGAAAGTGTAAATTTGGACGTTTGGAGGGAAGCAACAAACTTCGCTCGAAACGTTCAAGTATTTTTATACTTTTCGGGGATTAGTCAGACCTTCAATCAATTTCATGAAAATACCAAGGTTTTATATTCGGGTTTTAACTACAGTGTGCAGCTTTTTTGTTATAGTTTCATCTTTGCCTATAAATATAGAATTTAAGTTTATTTAAGTTAAGAATTGGCGAATCAGTATAGAATTTGATCTGCAATATCGAATTTGTGCCAGCTAGATATACGCCCGTATTCTAAAAGTTCACTCACACTCAATGAGTGGAACGGTTCAATCTGAGCTTCTCTCGAGTGTCATTAATGCTGTTTTTGAATAGCTGGGGGGGCTAGTGTCATACCTTACTATGTGACTACTCACTCTCCAGCTATTCAAACACAGCATTGATACTCAAGAGAAGCTCAGATTGAACCTCCACTCATTGAGAGTGAGTGTGAGTGAGCTTTTAGAATACGGGCGTTAGATTCAATAAAAATTATCATACATGTTATATGATTGATTGACATGTTGGCACTGCACTGATTATACCAGAAAGAATAAATCGTTCTTGACTTTGAAGAAGGCCTCGATCGTCGCTTAGAGTCTATTCATTTACAGTGTAAGTTATTTATAGTCTGGTGCTATTTTGTAGATTTTAACGTATGTATATGTATAGTACGCTCTTGTATATAAATTATGAGCAACATCATACCCCGTTCACATACTGTAGGTATACGAGTTTACAACAAATGGGTTGAAGTATATTCTGGCATTTCACTTTCAGATTAAAAATTGTTGAGTGTTGTGTGGTAGTTTAGGTAGCAAATAATACACTTTGCTGGCGTCTGTGTATGATGAAACTGCCTGAAAAATAGAGGAACTTCGACGTTTCGAGCGAAGGAAAAAGTTGTGGCTACTAACTTCAAGACGAAGCGCCTTTGTTCGAAACATCGTTCTATTTCGATCTGTCAGGTTAATATTAAATCACAGATGTCACAGATGTCACCATGAATGTTCGCTAAATAAACCGGCACCCAACATTCAAGAATATGAAAGTAAAGGATTGCACCCAAACTGTATAGCTTTAATATATATTTAGCAATCTTCATTGCACAGTTAAAAGCAACCATGGCAGCCATGCATGCCGCCATGCCCGTCACGCAGTAAATATTGCTATTGAGAGTAACTTAACTGCCCTACATGAGTTAATAATCGTTTCGTATAGCTTTGGCATGCACTGAGGAATCAGTTTTTTACAATCTTATAAAAGAAAATCAGTTGCTTTCGAGTTACAGGGCGTTAGTTGCTTCGCAATATAGTGGCCGACCTGTTGTACTCGTAATTATCATGGCGGTCTGCGGACATTTTTGCCAAATACAAAATTAGAGACACAACCATTTATGATAGGTTCGTAAATCAGGTGTCAGAGAACAAGACTATTGAATTCAAAAACAATTTAACTTTACGAATGGCGAGTTATGGCGGATATATTTTACAGCAAATCACAGCATGCTTCGAGAATAACATTAAAGATATTCTTCAATGCAAAATAACGGGTTTACTTGCCACACAGGAAAGTGGACAGCTACAAGTTATGTTCTCATTTTGTGGATAAGATATTTGGGATTAAAAATACTTCATTTACAGGCAGAAACCGTTGTGAAAGCATTTGAAATATGAAATATTGAGTTGTGAAGTATTGGGTTGTGATAACCGGTCCCAGGCCTTTTGCTCGGCTGGCTTTGACAAGGGAAACTAAGATGCCATTATTTTGTATGTGACGTCATACTTACCAAATGCCAGTCCAAAATTACCAAACCTGCCAAAAAGCCAGAGGAGTAAAGGGCCTGGGTTGTGGACTGGCGGATGTGGAATAGCGGAAAGGCGGTAACGGATGCAGAATGGCGATCACAGATAGGTTTTTTATCGTGTAAAAATGTTTTGTACATAGTAATGGTAGTACATTTCACCCTAACGTTTATACATATTGTGTTCACAGTGTAGATTTTGGCGTAGCCTGCGTGGCAGGCCATTGAATATTGGCATGCAATTGCAACAATGTCAAGGAAATTTGGTATTTCGGGGCCGTGAGCGGACTCAAAAATCCTATTGGCTAAAATAATAATATATGCCAAAATACGCATAAATTATATAGAACCGTCTGTGGCGCAATGTTTATACGCTTTCAATAAAAGCGTATGTTTTTTTAAGGAGCACTGTGAATTTGGCTTTTAAACTAAAAACAGAACAGCTGCAAATCGTTGAGATGTTTTGGCTGGTTTTCTCATTGGATATCTGCCTTGACAAGTCGAAGAGCATGGATACAAACCCATGCACGCGCGTGTTGGTATTTCTTTAAATAATACAGTAGCTATACCCGATCAATTTGAAATACTATTGACAAATTATGTATCCTATTAAAGTTTGGAATACATGTTGCTTTATGTATTTATGAAACTTACTACTCGATCTACAAATTACGTTGCTTTTATGTTATTATGAGCTTTACAGCAGACTACAAACTATACAGTGCAATTTCAGTAGCTTGTATTGTGATATATTTTCAGAGTTAATTGTAAACGTTTATACTGTTCAGCCGTTGCAATTTTGAAACATATAGATTTGTCCTGACTTACATAAACTTCAGCTTTGATTTTCTCGACTTTGACAACGTTTATTTTTTAAATTACTTCGCCAATGAACTCATAAGATGAGTCGTTGTTTAAGCACGTTAAAACATTCACATCCGATCTTTATCTGATATACAAACTCTCGCCTTCGGCTCGAGTTCGTAAATCAGATAAAGATTGGCTGCTCATGTTTTAACTAGTACGTAACGGTTGAGTAACGGTATTTGAACTGTTTATCAAGTCAAAATGTTTTGTTGTAGTGAATTGTATCACATACAAATGTACCAAACCGACATCGCCGGTGTAAACTCTGTTTTATTTATTCCAAAAGTAATTTAAACTGTTAATTTTTTAAAAGTTTGAATTCTCGAGCTACTCTATGAATTCTCGAGCTACTCTTTAGTTATTACTCACACTGCACACACACACAAATTTCAGAGATATGATTGGTTGGATTGGAAATAAATTATCATAGTAATTAGTGGGCGGTGATCAAATTTCCTTGAGATTGTTGCAGGCTCTCATTTACCCATTGAGCCTGCCACGCAGGCTAATTTTGGCGAACATCGTATATCAACCTAAATATTTAAATATAAGAATGTATGTTTTAAAGTATTCCAAAAAAAGAAAACTGATATCAGAAAAACAAGCCCAACTAAACATGCTTGTACAAAGGTCCATTGTTAGTAAACTTATAGTTGTCTTTGAATATATACAGGTGTCCCCAAAAATGCCGAATAGCTGTGCTCTCCAATTCTCACACAGCTAATTATTAGTAGGGATCGAAAATTCAACTTAAAGAACCAATATGTTATGGGTGTTTAAAGTAAGGGACCATCGAAACTTTTCACACTTAACACAACTGATGCATGATTTCAATGGTCCATTGGGTAATCGTGAATCAGATTTTTTAAACAGCGATACATTGGTATACTGCACCAATGTTAATAATCTTAATGTCAAAATTAATATCTTAGATTGTATTTTCGATCCTCACTAATAATTAACTGTGTAAAAATCTGGAACATAGCTATTGCATTTTTTTGGGATACTCCTGAATAGCAATGGCAAAAATCAAACAAAGGCGTGTCAGGTCATTAATTCTCTTCTATACAACTTAAGAATATTTGCTTAAAACGTTCATTTCCTGTGTTTTTGTATATTATTAGGCTGGAGTGATCAAAATGCCTGCCGATGATAACACAGAAGCTCATAATGAAGTGCCTGAACCACAGGAAACCGCTCAGCATGGCCAGCTGCAAGACGCAGCAAGACGCAATCAAGGTAAATACTATTAGTTCTTGTCTAGGAAGCATTAGTTTCACAATTTAATATTCCATTGTGTAAGACCAAAACAGGGCAAAGACCTTTTCCTATTGTCCACATTTGGAATAACTTGCCGTCCTTTATAAAGTCAAGCGAATGTCTAGGTACAAGTAGTTTTAAAAGTAAATTATAAGGTCGCATCTCCTAAGTGAATATTTGACAGCTAGTTGAATTGGAACACCAACATGGCGGCTCTGACGTCATGTGAAAACGCTCGAGTGTATCTAAAAGTCGAGGGTCGAGAGTAAAGGTCGAGAGTCGAGAGTAAAAGTCGGGAGTGGAGAGTAAAAGTCGAGAGTCGAGAGTAAAAGTCGAGAGTCGAGAGTAAAAAGTCGAGAGTCGAGAGTAAAAAGTTGAGAGTCGAGAGTAAAAAGTCGAGAGTCGGCAAATGTCATCAGAAACAACAAAGTCAAAATATTTTTATTTTTTAACCACGTTTAACACAATCTATAAACATATATATATATAGCTTTACATGGCCATTCCGTAACAAGTACCAACGGCTGAAATACAAACTTTCCAATAAACATTGCTACAACAGTCAATAATCAGTGGCGGAAATTCACTTTTCCGGTGGGGGGAGGGGGGTGGGGCAAAGCCTCCTAAATTTCAGACAAAACTTTGAAATTTACGACGTCCCCCCACCCCCATTTGCACTCCAAAAGACTGTTTTTAGCCCTCTTTTAGATCTAAAATTCGTCAATTTTCCGGAAGGTTGGGGGGGGGGGCGCCCCACCACGATTTCCGCCACTGTCAATAATAATAGCGTGATAACAAAAACAAAAAAGTTTGGATAAGAAAATAATAATATCGCATTTGATGCCTCAATCTTGCTAAATGTTTTCACATGTCATTTCATTCTAACTGACATGCACATAAACTTCGCTGAATTTTGACAGCCATCTCCAGGCTTGTAACTAAAATGTCACTTATTCATTAACGTACGTTTATAGCAAACGAGAGCGTATTAAGAAATCCACGTTGATCACAATCTAACGATTCATACAATTGTGAATTCATAAATACGAGCCAGTAAAAATAGGATTCTTTTGTCGTATGTGCGACTCTATCGGGTGGTAATATGTCTCGCACGTGATTGTAAAGTCCTAGTATTTATATGTAGCTTCACATATGAGTAATTTTTCGCGGAAATAGGTGCATGCAAAAGTGGGAAGGATGGACAGTAATATATAAGGAAGCGATAAAACTAGCTATTAGATAATAATTATTATTATTGAATGTTGTGGCTAAATTTTTGCGAAAGTTTTTGTTTTATATTATACTGGATTATTCCTTTGATTGTATATGCCTCTTGTTTACTTTAATTTCGAGAATTTGACTATACTAAATTATGTTTCGCAAATATTGTTTGCTTTAATTATGTTCCGATACACAGGAAATGAAATTAGTGCAGCCGTCATAGGCGTACGGGCGGGAAGAAATTTACCCGATCGACTTGTACCCACTGAATAAAATTTTCCGTGTAACTAAATTTCCAAAATTGTCTTTGGGAAGTAGATAAAAATATTTTCCTATTTGTCGATTCCTCGTTACTTTTACATATTTCTGGTATTTTCAAATACCATATTGCATGTACTGTCTTCTTTTTAAATTTATTTCCCCCAATTTTTGCCCGAATTTATACGTTTATAATTTGCATGACTTAATTTATTTTGACTGGGGGGCGGGACTGCCCCCCCCCCCTCGCCCGTACAGCTATAATCAGCCGTTGTTACGAGTCGTTTTCTTTCTTTTGGTGGATGTGAGCGGGTGGATGAGTTGTGAATGTTTAGATGAAGGTACATGTACTCAGAACATTCATTACTCATCTGCTCGTTCGCATGCATCGGGGGAAGAGTGTCGCGCCTGGAATCGCAGCGGAGGTTGCAGATGTAAACGGTGTTACATTATATAGCCTTATTTATGCACTGTTACGCACTTATGTTATTGTATATATACTTGTTATACACTGATCACCGATTGATACCAGCCAATATATGTAATTGACTGAACGGTCTTTTTTATCAGTATAAATAAAGATTTTATTATTATTATTATTATTATTATCGGTTATATATTGTGTTAAAAGTATTTTGACTTTGTTGTTTCTGATGACATTTGCCGACTCTCGACTTTTTACTCTCGACTTTTTACTCTCGACTCTCGACTTTTACTCTCGACTCTCGACTTTTACTCTCGACTCTCGACTCTCGACCTTTACTCTTGACTCTCGACCCTCGACTTTTAGATACACTCAAAACGCTCTATTAGGATTAAATTTATTATCCAGTATAACTATTTAATCTTGAATGTAAAATTGTCGACAATTAAGTATTGTATTGTATTTCAAACTACCGTATACTCTTGCTGTTTCAGGATGGCATACCACCCAAGCCACAGTACCGCAGGGAGATGCTCGGAGGTCTCGGAGTGTGCGAAGAACCCATTCGGCAATTATTATGCAAATGCCAAGAAGACCGCGTAGACCTACTCAAGAAAGCATAGAAGGCTTATCGCGCAGCAGAGCTGCATCGTACGAGGGTTCCTACAGGAATGTGCGAACAAGCGTTGACCAGACTCGTCATTCGGCGATCATTGTGCTAACAGAAAGAACTCAAAGAAGGCCACCAGAACGAAGTGCTATGGGTCAGGTGTACGCTCCAAGACAGCGCAGACCTATAGAAGAAAGCGCAGAAGGCTTATCACATAGCAGAGATGGATCGCAGGAAGGTGCCTACAGGAGTGTGCGAGCACGTGTTAACCACACTCTACATTCGGCAAACCTTTTGCTAAAGGCGAGCGGCACGCTCTAAGGCAATCCACGCCAACGTAACACAACGCGGCAGTCGCACCAAACAGCAGAATGGCCCGACCACTGGATAATGCGAATCAAGACTTGTAGCACAACTATGTGTTACAGCTATTTATAATATAGCATTTATATATTCTGAACGATGATTCGCTAAGAGCCATGTCGATATAACTCAATGTCAACACGGAAAATTTCTTTTTTTATATTTCTTCGTGCTATACTGTATTATAAAAAACAACATTTTTTCCGTATGGATATACAGTTATTGGAAATTGGGAAAACTCGAAATTGTGTGAAAACACCCCGCCCTCCGGGCGTCGTGTTTCCAAACAATTTCTCGTTTTCCCAACTTTCCACTCGTGTTGATATACTGTATATCAATTAACACGGAAAATGTTTTATATTTGTTAAGTGTTACATTTCTCCAGCTGCATTTTCCCTCTTACTAATGGTTTTCTTAATATTGTTGTGTTACTTACCTGTTGATCGTAGCGACTCAAAGATTAATAACTAAAAGATTACTGAATCACTCAAGCCCATGATGCTTTGCGCCTGCTTGTCCGATCTCCATTGTCAGTACCACTTTTGTAATTGGTGTGGTAAAGTAAAATGAAATAAAAAAGAAAAAGTTCTTTGTAGGTTTGCATACCAGTAATAAATGTTTTAGCTTGTGGGAAACAACATGTGTATTGATATGTATTTTGTCCCCGGCCGACGGCGCGAAGCGCCGTGCGAGGGCACTAATTCCCCCCGGCTATTTACACCCGGGGAAATGAAAGCATTAGCGAAGTCTAAAGTTAATCAATGATCGCGGGCATGGGTTACCGTGAGTGGTTCGGTGGGTGGTCATCTCACTGATCTCAAAATATGGCTGTTTGCCAGGAGTGAAGAGGCAACAAATGGAAAATCGTTTCACATAACAAATTGTAAAACTTTTTACCATTTTTAAACGTAAACATTTATAAGAATTGATTTAGGATGAGAAATCCTAAAGTATAGGGCAAGTTTGTTTCAACTGTTTATGTATGACTTTGTATTAATATGGACTTTGTTCTTGATGTTCAAGTATTTCCTATGCATGGTTTGCGAATGTTTCTTGTTAAATTAACCTTTGTAGAAGTTCATTATACTCTCCGAAAGAGAAGGAAAATTATTTTCATTAGCGTCCTGTACGAATTAAACTTATTTCCTTTCAAAGTGCGAGTAATAAGTAGAAGAGTTTATTTTATATAAATATCGGCAAAAAGCAGTCGATTTCAATTAACATTTAAAAACGTTTTACGTAGAGTGTCGTTTTGAATTTTACATTAAAACAAAGCCCATAGAAACCAAAATAATATACCTATACTTTTATATTTTAGAAATTGATAGTTCTGTGTTTAATTAAAAGTGTTCAAGTTTCATCTATTTTTTGCAGCTTTGCACAAAAATTTAAAAAATCGTGATTGAGGTGATTCGTGTTGCCATGACTAACATGACATGCAACGCGAGCCTGCATTCAGTGTTGGCGTAGTTATGAATACTTCATGTTGAAACAATGTTTGGAAAATATAGGCGAGGGGTTGTTGCATGCATGTAATTCTAGTATATTTTTATTTCACTATGGCCACTAATGAGACTTTCTATATACGTACGTGACTGTTAAATATTAAGCTAAGATAAAGGAAGATGGCTGTGAAACTCATTAGAATTATACTGATACAACTCAATTTATCTATGTTAGTCAACGTTTATTCATAAATATGGCCGTATTTTTGTCAAAGATGTGTTTTGTATTTTTGTCAAATCCACCAACAGCAATTTCCAATTCACCCTATTGTTCGAGTCAAGGATAGGTAACTTTCCTTAACATTGCCATTGGTTAGTTGGGCAAAAATACAATACGCACGTGACGGTGAAGGACTAGATTTAGGATAGTAAGATTTTTGTTTAGTAATTCGTGAGAATTTATTAAACGCGCGCGTTAGCCCGCACCAACCCGCAAATCGTAGGCTTTAACACTGAGCTATATATTTCATATGTAATGCAATAAGACTGGGGATGGGCTACCTGTACAAAGGGCGGGAAGATTCCTGTGTTACCAAATGACGAATTATCACTCGAGCGACACTTGCTAGGACGATGGCGACTGCTGGTCCATACTTAATCTGTGGTCAAGAATAATGTGCTGTCTCGCTGCGCTCACGACACTTAACCCAGGTTCAGATTCAAATCTGGATCTGAATCTGGAACTGTATAGCTGATCGTGTCATGTATATAAAGTACGTTGAATGAAATCCAGCTATTGCCGCGTGAACAAAATAAAAACATCTGTAGATTTGCAGCTACAAGCCTACAACCACTGATCTACTGTCTTCACAACTCCATGCCAAAAATGTCGGGATGTGATAACGACAAGATAGATTACATATTTTATGGTACCATTATTACTATGAATGAGAAATATCCTGAAGCTGAAGCTCTAGCTATCAAGGATGACAGGATTTTTGCTGTTGGTACTAAGAAAGAGATCAAGCAGCTTGAGACAACAAGTACACTAGTCGTAAAACTAGGAGATCAAGTTCTCATGCCTGGTTTGATCGAAGCTCATACCCACGCGATCGATATGGTGGATTTAAAGACTACTTTTAAAGACATCAATGGCTATGACTACCATACGCATGCACGAAGCAGTCGAGACATTAATGACAAATGAAGTTTGAAAAGCTGAAGGCAGTGGGGCGATAAAAGATAAAATGATTATATTCTTTGGTTGGGATCCCGAACTTGTGCCAAATATGCCTACCCTAACAAAGAAATATATCGACAACAAATATACACACAACAAAGAACTGTTGTCGGATGACCAGAAGGTTGCTGTGGTAATTATCGGTGAAAGTTATCATATCGGATGGGCGAATCAAAAGGCATTCGATAATGCTTGTGTGGTACGTAGACTTTTATTACAATATGTAATTATTAATATTTAGTTCACCATAATATATTAGTTAATATATTAGTCAATATATAATATATTAGTAAATAATATATTAGTAAATAATATATATATATATATATATATATATATATATATATATATACATTTGTTTTGTTGTAGTAGATAATAAAGTGCTCAACACTAATACAAAAGTAGAGCAAGATATATTTAGAAATTGGTTTCAAGATAACAGCAGAAGTGAACTATCATGTTGTCAACTTCCTAGATCTCACATTGGACTTGAAAAACGAAACATTTTCACCTTTTAGGAAACCAAACAATGACCCACTCTACGTCGACAATAGATCTAACCACACACCTTCTATCATTAACCATATCCCTTCCTCAATCAACAAACGCATCTCCTCACTTTCTTCCGATCAAGCATCCTTTGATTCTGCTGTACCATTTTACGAAGATGCGCTTAAGCGCAGCAACTACGATGTACCTCTGCAATACTCGGCCTGTGATAATTCCTCCAGTTTGCCATCTACCAACCGAAGACGTCGTAGAAACATCATTTGGTTTAATCCTCCCTTCAGTAAAACTGTTCGCACTAACGTTGGTCGAAATTTCCTACAATTGATTGATAAACATTTCCCTTCTACTAACCCGCTTCATAAGGTCTTTAACCGCAACACAGTCAAAGTTAGCTACTCTTGCATGGAGAATGTCAAAACCATTATATCCCGACATAACCATCGCTTGTTAAAGAGAAACCCTACCCAAAAACCTGTCCAATGCAACTGTAACAAACCAGATGAATGCCCACTAGACGGGAAGTGCAAAGTAGACAACATCGTCTATAAAGCCACAGTGACAACAACCGATAACGGAAATACAAAAGAATATATTGGAATGACGGCCAACCCATTCAAGGAAAGATACGCGAACCACAAAACGTCATTCAACCTCTACAACCACTCGTCTGATACAAAGCTTTCCAAGTATATTTGGAGTCTGAAGCAAAGTAGAAGAAATTATAGCATCAAGTGGTCCATCTTGAAAAGAGCTGCTGCGTATACGCCTGGGGCCGGTTGTATCAAGCCCGTTTAGCTTAAACGGTGGTTAAGCTCAAAACAGAAAGCAAGTCTATATATTCATTCAACAACCAAACTAAAAATTTTAAGCCTTAATAGAACGATAATGTTTACAACTACATATTTAGTGCATAATATTTGAGTTGACTGATTCACGAGAGATATAAGAGTGTTATTTAATTTTGACTTATACACCGTTTAAGCTAAACGGGCTTGATACAACCGGCCCCTGGTGGAAAACGATGTGGCCTCTGTTTGGAAGAGAAGTTATGCATCCTGAAAGCGAAAGGGAACAATTCACTGAACACGCGATCAGAGTTTTATGCGAAGTGCTGTCATAAGGAAAAATTTAGCGCGTGCAAATTCAAACCAATGACGCAAGACAAGCCTACGCGTCAGCATAGATTATAGATTATACCAGATGTCTCACTCAGCCAAAATTGTGTCCGCGATTTTTTATGAGCACGAATTGGCCGCCATTTTGGCAGTAAGTGTAATCCACGCCATGAAACGTGAGCAATCACGCCTTTTGGCAGTAAGCGCCATTTTGGCAGTAAGTGTCGCACGCGTCATCTGGCGTGATAGCCTCGCGAAAATCGCGGACACGAAAATCATAGAGATAGATGCACAGTGAGACATCTGGTATGATCTATAATCTATGGCGTCAGCGACCGACCGTTGATGCTGACGATTCAAACACAAACTGAATTAATTGCCTGAAGATCGTCTTGAATAAGGCGTGAAACTTGAGTAGCAATAATTAATTTTAAGATATAAATAAAGATATATATATATATATATATATATATATATATATATATATATATATATATATATATATATATATATATATATATATATATATATATATACTGGATCCAGAAAAGTTTGACCTTCGAATATATATATATGTCGGCCATTTTGAATTTTCTTGGGTTAATTATACGCGAACGCATACATGTAGTAGTAGTAGTAGAACTTTATTTATCCACGCTGACCCCGTCAACCGTAGCTGATTTCTACGGGGGGCGTGTGCCAGAAAATTATTTTACATGCAGAATATGATAAGGATAAGCTAAGCTATTACAGTAATATATAAATTTAAAAGATATAACAAATGTTTTGAGCTATTTACAGGTAAGTTATATTTACAAAGGTTACCAAGCACTAATGTGAGCAGCGATTTTATTTCGAAAGGAAGAAAGTGACTTGCTTTCCCTAATTTCTTTTGGTATAGAATTCCAAATGTTTGCTCCGTCGTACATAAAACTATTTTTCATGCTATTTGTACGTGGTTTTGGTAAATAAAGACCACTTGAGACATCCCAAAGGTGGTAATTAGTTTTCTCACTCTTAAACGAAAATAGATTTGTGAGTGATTTTGGGCCCATTTTGTTTAATAACTTATACATCATTCTTGCTTTAGTTTTCTTCCTTTCAGTTTGGAGTGGCTCCCAGCCCAAAGTACGTAGCGCAATCGTATAATCTACGTCATTGCTTATATTCAGAATAATTCTTGCCGCTCTATTTTGCAGTTTTTGCAGTCGTTTTGATTGAGTTTCGCCAAATACATCCCATACTTCACAGCAGTAGTCAAAGTACGGACGAACAATAGTGTTATATATCAAAATAAGTGTATCTTGATCAACAAATGGTTTGATCCGACGAATAGCAGAGATTCCTGCTGTAACTTTTTTGCAAATATTTTCGGTATTACTTTTCCAAGATAAATGCTGGTCAATTGTTACTCCTAGAGTTTTGCATTCATGAACTTGTTTAATTTGTATATTTTCAATGTAAACATTTGGGCAAGAATCAGAAATATTTTTGATCATAGGTTTAGAGCCAATCAACATAAACTCTGTCTTAGCTACATTAAGGCTAAGTTTATTGGCTATTAACCATTTTTCTAAGGTTCTCTAAATCAGAATTTACTGCATGCAGTCTCTAGGTCAGTCATAGAATTTGCTGAAGCAGTCAAATTTGTGTCATCAGCAAACAACCGCGGTTTGGTTTTGTTTAGACAATGTGGCAAATCATTGATGTACAACAAAAAGAATAATGGCCTTAACATAGAGCCTTGTGGTACACCACATTTAATCAAGCGCTCAGATGAAAATGAGTTTTTTATTTGGCACTTCTGGTTTCTGTTTGTGAGATAGGATTTGAGCAAAGTTAGAGCTTGTCCTTTTATTCCATAGAGCTCTAATTTGTTCAGCAGAATTTGATGATCAACAGTATCAAAGGCTTTCTTCAAATCAATTAAAACTACTAGGTTAAACATTTTTCTGTCTAGATTCACATACCAATCATTAGTACAGTCTAGTAGTGCACTAGCTGTAAAGTGAAATTTTCGAAATCCAAATTGGGAATCACTGAGAAGCTCAAATTTTGTTAAATAGTTATACAGTTGATCATACAATATCCATTCCATAATTTTACTAATGGCCGGTAAAACTGATATTGGTCTGTAGTTTCCAGGAATACTACGCTGGCCATTTTTATATAGGGGCATCACTCGTTATTTTTATATAGGGACATCAAATGTCGCTCGCAACGTACTGTATATTGCAATATTCCAACAGCTCAAATAAGTAAAGGATCATTGCTTGAAGTTCTTACACATATTTGGAGTAGCTATCTAATGAACATTTCAGGGTTGTTAGCTAATTAACTCTTGTCACAATTTGGAACCTGATCTTTTTGGCATGTCGTAATTTATTTTTTGCATCCTTAGAGATTTAGACGCTTATTAGCATGCCTCGATGAATTTCTTTGTTTATTCTTTCGTATTCACTTGTGCTTATTTTATAGCTGTAACCTACGTCCAGAATTATTATATTTTGCCAACGGAAATTTTAACGGAATCGATAGTCATTCGATATTTCATCCCCTGAAACTCAGCACACGCAGCATTCGTGACCTGGCGAAGCAGAAACGTTCATTTCCTACTAGCCATTATGTTCATTTTCAAATGTTCATTTCCTACTAGCCATTATGATTATGTGCAAAGACATCAATCAATGATTCTTTTATTCATTTGAGCTGTTGGAATAATATTGCAATATACAATACGTTGCGAGCGACATTTGATGTATGCGTTCGCGTATAATTAAACCACGAAAATTCAAAATGGCCGACATATATATGTATTCGAAGGTCAAACTTTTCTGGATCCAGTGTATATATATATATATATATATATATATATCTATATATATCTATATCTATATATATATATCTATATATATCTATATATATATATCTATATTATATCTATATATATCTATATCTATATATATATATCTATATATATCTATATATATATATCTATATATATATCTATATATATCTATATATATCTCTATATATATATCTATATCTCTATATATCTATATATATCTCTATATATCTCTATATATCTTATATATCTCTATATACTCTATATATCTCTTTATATCTCTATATATCTCTATATATATCTATCTCTATATCTCTATCTATCTATCTATCTATCTATCTATCTATCTATCTATCTATCTATCTATAGATGAAAAGTTGGTATTTTTGTAACATTTACTGTCCATCTGCCAAAATAATCTGTAATTGAGATTAAACCTTTCGTTTTTTTATCAAATTGAAGAAGTCTGATGATATTATTGTCCATAAAAAAAATAT